ATACCAAGTTTCTTTTTAGATACTATCAATCTGAGCTAACTATGAATGTCCTTCAGAACATCTCCAAAAGAATGAAGTATATTTGTTATGATAAGAACTAGAAATACATATTTCGCCTCTTTTATTTGCAAGATTCTGAGTGAATTCAAGTCCAAGTTTCATGTACTTACAATACCAACATTCTTTATTTTTAGCATCTGAAAGAGATAGACAAAATTAATAATTATTTTTGTATTTCTATAAAGAGATGAGCTATTATTAACATAATTCTCAGAAATACACTTTTTATTTTTAGCACATGCTAATTTTTTGGCCACTGAAATATCAAGTTTTCTATTTGTACAATAAGAACACTATGAATAGCGATTTTTGACAGATCAAAATAAACAATTCTATTGATAGTTTTATTGCATTTCTAAAGCATTAGAATTTTGCAGTTAATATATTCTTTGGAAAAGCATTTTTCTCTATGAGATTCTGCTATCATCATTGTATTACTCAAAGAAATTTTATTTTTTGACATTGTAGTCAACAAAATATGTTTCTTAAATAATTATCTTATTTTTCAAAATACTATAGAGTATTACGAACTATGCAAATTAGATAAAACTATACCTTTAAAAAAACAGAATCTATTCGCTTCTAAATATCTATTTAGACTACTAGTTGTGGACACTTCTGAATCTAGAAAGACAAGCATGGTAGTACATCTGCTTCTAGAAATCAAATATCCAAAAATATATCTATGAATGTTTAGTGAAAAATATAGTTATAAAGTACCAAAAGATGGAAACAAAAATTTTAGTAAAAAGTATATTCTGTGTGATGATCTAATTGTTATTGCGCAACACCAAGATGAAGAGTTATAGAAAGCAGTACAATATTTTTATGAGTTTATAGTTATGGATAAGCAAGCTCCATGGTATGAAAATATGAGATTTAAGCTAATTGTATCTGAAGAACTACCTGATATTTCATCTTTCAAAAGAACTGGCTGATTTACTATTATAGTCTTTGATGATCTTGCTAGTAAACCTCTTGCAACTTAACTAAAAATCATTCTTTTCTTTAAGTCAAGCAGATATAATAGAATTAGCTCAATTTATATTGCTCAACATTTCTATGAAACCTATCTAAATATATGCAGAAATCTTAAATATATTTTATTGCATCGTGGATGTGTAACTTTAGATAGTATAAAGCGAATTCTTAAAGATACACATGATGATTATAAACCTCTAGCAAAAAAATTTATGAGGTAATAAAAAAGCACTTTGTGGTTATTGATATCTGAAGACTATCTGATGACTCTTTATCAATTAGATTTAGATGAGACAAATCTTTAAAGAATTGGCAAAACAGTTGAACTTGGGATGATTTGTATTTTGTAGCCTTATTCATATCCATAAGAAAAAGTTTCATATAAGGTAATTCTGTCTTCGAGTTCTTTTGCATGTTTATTTTCTTTTTTCTCTTAAGTCTGAAAAAAGATATATAGTTAACTTATATATTTTTTATTTTATTTTTTTTTTCAATGATCCTGCTTTTATTATTTAAATCAAAAGTACCAGAACTTTATATTTACATTAAATATAAATTCTATATTATATTTCTGTACTAATAAAAACTTACTCGACTATAAAAACTCAGGTGTGACCTGGATGTACTTATTTGTGCGAGTAATACAAATTCTTAAAAGAAAATAGCCAATCAGAGAGTACAAATTTTGACTATTCCAGATCAGCCTGACATGAATTTCGAACACATACGAAAAAAGAAAAAGTAAAAATACTAAAAACTAGTATTTAAATCGATCTTGATGCATTAATTAAAAATTTTGGGCACAAAATTTTATATATAATAAGTAACAATCTATTGCTATAGTCTTTAATGTTAACGTCTTAATTCTAAATTTATATCTTTATGCACTTGGTTTATTTACAAAATTCAATTTTCTTTTTTTGGTTTGTGTTACTTGCGCAAATAAGTAAAACCGGTATAACCTGCCTAAGCAGCCAATTTACCTCACATTAGATTCTCAACTTACTAAGGATTTAATCTCTCTGATCCTTGGTTGGAAGCTGCTGACCTTGTCAGTGATCACCAAATTCTTTCCAATACACCACAGCTAAGGCCTTGCGGTTTGATTACAAATATTTCAGTACTATTTTATTAGTAAGAATTGTATATTTTCTTTATTAACCATTTTTTCTAAATTATATATCATATTTTTTTTATTTTTCTTCTTTTGCTATAATTTGTTAAGTTCTTCTATCTTCATAATCTCTTGAAGGGTCTTCTTTTTTTTCTTTTTCTTTTGATTTTCTAGCTTAGTTTCTTTTTTTTTTCTCTTTTGGACTTGCATTTAGGCTTAAATTTGTCTTCTTTGTGCTAAGGCTTGAATTCATCTTCTCTTTGATAGTCTGGCTTGTTTTCTGTAATCTTGTAACTCTAGTTTGTTATTGCTTCTTTTTGACTTTCTGTTGCTTTGATTCATATATTTCTTTTTCAAGTGTATCTTCTTTTTTCTTCTTTGGTTTTATTATTTTGATCTTTTAAATTGGCGACTACCATAATTTCTTTCCTAAAAGTTAGATATTTAAGTCTAGGGAATGGGAGTAATAAGAAAATTGAAACT